CTGTTCTCATTCCTCACAAAACAGTACTATTTGAACTGAAACTGCACAGAAAATATACACACAACTTTTGGGATGGAAAATTTTGATCTAAAATATTAATATTTGACACAGTAAGCATCAAAGCAAAATAAGAGACAATTAAAGCTCAGAGAATGGAAACATTAGGCAAGTTAAATATTTTTTAAAGCACATTTTCTAGTTCATTGAACTGCCCATAAAAATAAAAATAATGTGCATTTATGTTAAAAGAAATTTACTGTTTTCTTACTCCTAAATAAGAAAGGTACACAAACTATAAATAGCACTATAGACTTTTTTAGCCCTCTTCCACACTGATTATAGTGAGCTGACTAATTTTTGATGGAAGGACAAAACCCAAAAACCAGAGAATGCCAGTCTGTCAGACTCAGATTTCTCATGGAAAACTCCTTGAGTGACTGCATTTTCAATGAAACACAGCCTGAAAACTCTTGTGAAAACCTGCATGCTATCTGCTGGTTGATCTGGTGGCTGTTTGGGGCTCCTTGCTATGCAGCCTGCTCAGGGCATAGGGCTCCAAGCTTGAAGAGCTTTTTGGGAGATGTGTTACACCTTTCAAATTACTGTTGAACAGAAATTCTGTATTAAAGATTCATGTCTTCAAGGTATTCTGTGTTTTATCTCTCTGATATAGTAAGAAATTATGTTCAGTGTGTTGTTAAAGCATTCCTTAAAAAGGCAGGAATTTGGTATACTTCACAAGTTTAACTTGAGAAACTGGCAGGTACAACACAGAGTGGTATCCATTATAGATATAAAATTTAAAAATAGGTGAAGAAAAATATCATAATCACATTTACAAAAGTAAAGACCCAATCTGCACCAATAACACTACACAGACAATAACATAAAAATAAAATTCTCTACCTATTTCCCATCTAGGCAACTTTACTAATTTTTTTAACAAATTGAAAGCATGACAAGAAAGACATTATACATGAGAGACTTTGTTAATGGACAACAAAAATTTAAAGATTGCTTTGGAAATACTAAAAATTGACTCTGATCTTTCTGTGAGGGTAATATGCTGTATGCCATTCAGCCTGTCAACAAATTCTTTCTAACCTGATTTAACTCAAATCAGTCCTGAAATTCCATCAGCCAAATCATTTTTCCTAGGAAATATTGCAAAGAAAACCCCAAACCCAGCATGCCCTTAGAGGTGTTTTCTAACGTCAGTCTCTTAGTCCCTTCTCCAGTTGTTTGGGGTGGCTTTAGACATTAAACAGTGCATGTGAATCTAAGGTGGAATTATAACCATATAATTAGAAATTTATAAAAATGCATGCAAAAGAGCTCCTATTAAATTTATTTTGAAATAAATGGTTGTTTCTCCATTACATGGTATGCTGTCATTGGATAAAATGTTAATAAGCAACTGTCTTTATGACCCTATGCACCTCATCCAGCTTTATCTTTTATCTACTGCTTCTAAGTGTTCCCTGATCCACTTGATTATCATTTTACTAAGCTATTGCAATGGCATACAGCTTGTCATCTGGATTAATTTCCAATCCATGGTCGTACCTGTTACTTTTGTCCACAAGATTTAGCTGAACACACTTCTTTTTTTTCTATTAAAAAGAACCATAACATCCACTATACAGGTCCAGATCCAAGTCTATTATGGTCATGCCCCCTCTTTTTCCCCAGAAGCAGCCAACATGAATGCCTACAAATGAATATTAAAGCAGATACAGGAATACCTCCCTGTTAGGTTCCCCCAGATTCCACTGAAGTGTAACATGATGAGTTGCTAGGTAATCAAGCTAACAAGTAGCTTTATTGTTCTAAAATAAAAACCCTTTTGTGGTTAAAGCTGTAGGAAACTGAGCCTCGATATTCTTTTCTTGTTGGTGCAAATATCCATAACAAAAATCTTGCAAATAACTTAAGTCGGATTAAGTTCCTCTCTCCCCTTTCCTTCTTCATCCAGCCTTTGCTCCTTCACCTTCATGCAATCTGCTGCAGGTAAACAGTACCAATAAAATCATGGAAAGAAAACTGAATTAAGGAGGCACTTGCAAAGTTTTTTTCAACGAAGGTACTTCCCTTCAGCAATGTGCACAGTGCAGTTGCTCATATTCCTCCAGTAGAACTCTACTGCTGAGTCCTGGGATAGGGATAGGCACAGTTGGAAGGCTGAGGAATGGGGACAATTTAATCTGGCTACTGAGACAAATATGGTTTGTAACTACCCTGTAAAGAGACTAACTTCTCATATGACAGGGGATTTAATACCATGAGAGTCCAGCTTTGAAATACTACATCTTACTCTAAATATTATGGTTACAATATTCTATTTCAAGTAATTTAGTGATACTTGTTTCCCCAACACTGATCTATTTTTCCACAAGATTTTTTGAAAGGGAAAGCTTAGTCCATGGCACTGTTAACCCAAATCACACAGGAAATTAAGTAGGAAAACAGGATGCATTAATACAATGTAGTTACTCAACTTGCTCTCAGTTTTTAACAGGTGGCATTATAATAAAGAAACAGCATACTAACTGCCTTAGTTTGAAAAGACAGGCAGGAGCCTCCCTTGAAATGGAAAATGTAAACCCCCTCCCCTCAAATGGAGTAGGAATAACAGTTCTTTACTGGTATGTATAAATTTAAAAAAAAAACCACAAAAACAACTATAACTTAATAGGAAAATTAAAATAAAATGCAGTAGTACAAAAACTACTGACAGAGTCAGAATACAGCCTGACACCCTGTTGGTCAGGGTGTTGGCAGCAGTCTGATTAAATGGTGGCTGCAGTCCTGGAGTGACAGATGTGGTTCTGTTGAAGCAGTGATCCTGTAGAAGGGTGTAGTTTTCCTCTGAAGGTTCAGTGGTGGTGCAGATGGGTCCTGTCTCTCCTCTGGGAATCCAGTGGAGAAGGGCTGACTGCAGTGTTCTCTATCCCAGATTATATCCAGGTAGGAATGATTGGTTCCTCCCCTTGGGTGGAGCATCTCACAATGGGATGATGTGATTTTATCAGTCATGCAGTGAGACTCAATGGCCCATTAACAGAAGATATGCTCTGAGCTGAGATCAGAAGCCAATTTTATTGAGTATACAAGATGTTTACATAGAGTTTTACTTGTATGGCACTTATATAGGGTTCTATTTTTGGTAACAATTTCCCATTGGGTACACATTTTTCATAACGTCACTTCAGCTGGTAACATCACAGAGTTTCACATGTTTCTTGGTCACTCTCTGCCCAGGGAGCACTTATCCATGTCTACCTCTCCCATGGTTTCTGCTTGATCAGGCCTAAGATATTAGGCCCCTTTATCAGTTCTCTTGTACTCTGTTTTATTCCCCATAAGTATCTCCAAGAAGCTGGTATACATGGATTGCCACATCTTCCCAGTTTGCTAATCACTATATTTGAATAATTTTACTGATGTGTTTCTCAAGCTTGCTTAGAAGAACATTTCCAAGATATTTTTAGTGTGTACTTCATTTAGTGTGGAACTTCTGCTGTTGGAAAAGGCAGTGAGACAGATCTAACAGGACAAATCAACTTGCAGCTACTCACCTATTTATTATTCAAGTCCTAAAGTTAGTTACAGAGATTTTCTAACCCTTCATCATATGAAGCTGCTGCCCTGGCATACCCTCTGTTCATAAAGACACACACTGAAAGACAACATCCATTTCTCAGCAATAACCACTAATGAGTCCACAGCTGCTCCAGCATCTTCTCCAAGCACTTCAAAAAAAAAAAAAAAAAAAAAAAAAAAAACCAGTAAAATTTTATTCATCAGTAGGTTTATAATTAAAAAATTAAACACAGTTTAAGGTGTGAAGTGTTTCCTAGTCAAAGTCACAGTTTGCACAGAGCACAAATGCTCTGGTGGAAAGGAGTGGAAGGAGAGCAAAGGAGGGGGGAATTAAAACCTCAGAGTGCAGAAGTCCTTAATTCTGAATCTGAATAACTCCTTCCTATACCTAACACAGAAATAATATCTTGAGGAAAAGACTACTGAAAGTCAAGAAAAACAATGAGTGATTATAAAACCTGCAAGTTGTTCTAGAGGTCCGTATGCACAGGACTGGATTTTTTTTTTTTAATTTAAAGTTCAGAGAAGTTTATTGGATTGATATGTAGGTCAGCACAGAACATCACAACTGCCTATAAACACTTCACAAATGGCAACATCCATTTGAGCTCCTCAATGTCCCATCAGATTCCACCATTGGATTTCTTAGTTGGTGAAAATATCACAATTCTATTTACCCAGCAGTGGTTGAAATGTAATGACATTTTATAGAAAGAACTATACAAAAGTGTTTTATTTTGCAAAAGGAAGTAGTAGCAAACATTGTGCTAGTACCCTGATATGGAAAAATTAAGTTACTTTGTCCATGTATTATCCTTTCTGCTGAAAAAGGTTGAGAACAAAAAGAAGAAACGCAAGACAAGAAATAAAGTACAGCTTAACACAGGAGAAAAGTAAAAATTCCTTTGATTCATTAAAATAACATTATACCCAGCCCCCTCCAACTCCCACTGCCACCCCCACTGAAGTTACAAAAGCAGTGGATGATTTTCTGTATAGCCCCAGGCTACTTTATTTCACAGTGTGGAGTGCAGGCAATATTTTGAAACACAAAGTACCAGGAAAGAGTATTCATGGGTTCAAATGCGAGTACAACAAACCTCAACAGTGAAGGGATGTAAAAAGCACTAGAAAAAGAAGGAAGCATATTAGTCCATCAATAATTTGACCCAAGAAAATAGAATCCCAATAGTAGTCCCTAATTTATGTCCTCATTCTTCCTAAAATATTAAGATAATTACAATTTCTTACTGCTCTTTTATATTCCTGAGGCTGCCATTTGGCAAACATGCAGAGCTCACCTTTGGTGTGCAATACCTTCGTGGTTCCTGTATCATACTAGGAAATTTGTCCACTTACGCATTTTTACATACATATAAATAACAAAATACATTTAAGTTTGAATAATAATCTTTATTTATTAGTTTATTTGTAAAAGGTACATTGTAATCCTGAGCTACTGCTTTTATACATTTAGCATCATACAAAGACAGATCATTTACAGTTCGATCATTTACATTTATTGTGCTCCAAAATCCTTATCCGAATATCATTTTGACTTAGCAGGAACATAGATAATTTAAATTACATGTATCCCTGAAACATCCATATTAATTTACCCATCTGACCCCATTATCTAAATTACTACAGTTGTCTAAATCACTCAGGACATTCCTTCTGAATTTAGCAAAAACTTGTTTAAAATTATAAAGATGGGCAGTGCAAGAACTGGTCCCTCAATCCTTTGTGAATACATCATTTGAAAAAACTTTCTGTTTCCGTATTCTCTTAGCAAGTCAGTGCTAAATTGACTAGATGTACTTTGATGGAATGGTCCAAGTAATAGTTTACTCATTTCCTTATTACAGCAGTTAATGAGAATTTACAGTGTCTCCCTTTGCAGTGACCAGTGTCATAACTCTCCCAAGCAGGGAAAATCCGATGTGATCAGAGGAAAGTAAGAGGCAACCCATCACCGTCTTATTGTCATCTACATGACGCTGAAGTATTACAAACCAAGTCATGAAATGCTTCCCTTAGACCCTGTAAAGGAACTTGTACGAATAACCAGAGTTAAGTTCCATAATCCGAGCATGGCTTTTAGGATTTGCCAGTTAAAAAAAAAATAAAAATAAAAAACAAACTAAAACAACCCAAAACCTCAGTCCCAGGATCCTTGAGGAGAAAGCATTTATCCTAACTGAAATCAAACCCCGGATAAATGGGAATTTAATTGGACTACCAAAATAGTATCTCTCTACCTGAAAAGTCTCCAAGCATACAGTGTTTACAAATGTCTCTCTAGCAACAGTGTCACTCTTTTAAACACACACAACTTTCATTTCCTGAATAAGGTCACTATGATCTTAGGCAAAAGATGCAGTAAAGCAGTTCAAGCATAATGCTTATTGCTTAGGTTTTAAAGCAAGCCACTTGAATATAATTCTAGTTAAAATGTTAGGTACAAATGTGAAGCTACTGTAGAAACACTTATAAACACTCTTGCTTTTGAATTCTTACCGATCATCTAGAAAAATGGCAGACGGATTTTAACAAAGGAAATGTAAAACTTAATACTGTCTGTTGAAATAAAATTCAACGCCTATAAAGACAGAGTTATGAACATGTAAACACAGCTTTAGTATTCAGAGCTAGGGAATCTAGCAGCAAAACAAACTATTTGCATATTATGTAGTGCAATGAACATTTGTTCTTAGAGACCCCCAGTCTTTAAACTACCTTGAACAGAATGGAATCCTTATAGGAAAGGTTTTAAAAGTGTCCAAGATGTAATATCCAGAACTACTAGATGTTCATCTATAACCTAACAATTTCTCTATGCAAAACTGTGCTCTGGATAGCTGACTTTAATGGCTCCCCAGTAGCAGGCTCGAATGAGGCAGATTAAACCTAAGAGATAAGCAACAGCCCAAGAAACATATGTTGCGTGAAATCGCCTGGCGAAATCTTGTGTACCAACCTAAAAAGAGAAAACAGTAGTGTCAAACGTACAGCACTATCTGTTCTTCAGGGAAGAGCAAGTTATATTAAGGAGAAACGCTTCAGCACCTTTTCAACTCTGGTATGGGTAAATTGTGTATTTTATTAGCTTTATTTTACATAACCATAGGATAATTGAGCTTGAAAGGGTGATCAGGATACATCTACTGCAAGCTCCCCATTCAAACTAGGGTCAACCCCAAGGTCAGACCAAGCTGTTCATGGTTTTAACCCAGCTAAGTCCCAAATAACTACAAGGATGGAGGCTACACAAGGTTCTGGACAAACCTCATGGAAAAATGTTTTCACATAATTTTCCAATTCAGCAGGGTCATTAAAAAAAAGGAAAATAAATTTGTCTCACTGTTGTTATTTCTGGCTTTGTTTCTATTATGAAACCTGGAAAATCCTTCATAACTTATTTAAGCTCACAAATAATTATTCAATTTAAAACAGAAGTTAAAGGCACAATGAGAATTACATGTATGAATTCACTGGAGGTGAATTCACATGAACTTTTCTGAGATTGCCAGGTAGAAAGTTGGCTCTGGTAACCTGTATGAGATACTGGTAAGCTGGATAGCTTTCCAAGCAACAACAGAGTGAGCCTTTTAATTTGTAAATAGCTTATCAACTGGTTTTACTTTTTCCAGCTTGTAAAAATTACAAAGACACATACATATTTTAGTGCTTGGAATCCCATTCACCTCTGTTGCAGGGGAACTTATATTTCTGGCTAGACAGCAACATGTATTTCTGGAAACTGGGAAGTTTTGAGAGCTCTAGCAAGAGCAAGATGTTCCAATATTTCTACAGTGAAGTGAACCATTTTTCATAAAACTTAAGTTTTTAGAGATGAAGAGTAAAATTTAACATGAGAAAAAAGATTATCACAGTGCCAGAATACCTTTTTTAAAAAAAATAAAATAATTTTTCTGGCTTACTCAGATGATTAAGTCCACTGTTTTGATAGAAATGACAAAAACCACACCAATTTAGGAAGTTTTACTCAAATGCTGGGAAAAGAAGAGCTGGTCAACTAAGAGAACTGTTCTGAACACACACACCCCTGCACACAGTTGCAAATTTATCATGGGACATCACTCACAGTTAATCCAACGCCAATGAAGATGCATATCATTCCAATTGTGATATACGCACAGCAGCGCCTCCGTGGCAGTGCACTTCCAACAGAAGAACTGTCAGAAAATAAATGGTATTGTAAATTAAAAGCAAACAAAAAATCCCAAACCCAACCAACCAAGTAAGAACCACCACAAAAACCAGCACTAATATCAACAGTAACTGGTCAGTCTCAGTGGGGGGATGGAAAGAGAGTACATATACACCATCTTGAGTTTATAGAAGTTGTAAGCAAAGTCTACAGTTACATTACAAAGTACCTGTACAGAGTTCACATTTTTATTTTAGAGGGGAAGCATTGGTGATTATCTAGTACCTAAAAATCTAGATGCTTACAAGAAAGGAAATGGTGCCACACCCACAGTTTGAGTGTGTCTACTTTCTGTACCCATAGTGCACCCCAATAAATTGTCTTGGATAGCCTTTGGGTGGCAAAACTCAAGTCTGCTTGTCAGCTTCCATGCTGGTTTCAAGACACACTTCAGACTTTCCGTACATTAGCATATGGCTTCAATACTTCACTGCATCTAAGTAACTGAAAATAACTTCTACCACCCCTACATGTCATTAATAACAACCTTCTCTATCCATTTCTTGGATACTCAATACTGTTCAGTGACTAAACTGCTCTGAAGATAAATACAGATCATTTTAGTCACAGACATGTAATTTTTTTCCATGTTCAACATCTCCAAATACTGAAATTCTTTAGGCCATTAAGTCAACTTGAAGAGCATGACAAATTCTTCTTACTTTGCAATTTTTTTCAGAGTTCTACCCCAATTTATATGAGCTGCACAAATCACTTCTGACAACCAAGGTAAATAAATCCTCTGGAAGTTCTGTCACTCATCATCTAGACTATGAACTCCAGGAGAGACGGATCTGTCTCTAACTGCTGTGTCAAGCTAGTACATTGCTTCATTCAAACAGAATATAAAATGCAATTAAAACATTATATTATTTACTACAGGTTAAAAAAAAATATTCTAGAACCTCAGCATTGCTTAGGAAATTCATCTTGAATCACACATTTGCAATCACATACAGCTTACTAATGAGAAAAACAGGAACATGAATTAAGTCAATTGAAACAGTTGAAAGGACTAGAGAAGCAGAAGTGGTTTTATAAAACATTTATTATCTATCTTAGAGGTGTTTTGAAGCATCCTGAAGCATGCTATCATTAGCTAAGTACTTCATCCCATTCTGGGAGATCAAGACACCTTTGGAAATAGTGTAACACTTTCACTCATCTCATGATAGTTCAACCTATTCAAGATAAATGCAGACCAGAAAAAAGCACTGCTAAACAATTGAAGAAAGACACGCATCATATGACTGACCAAATTTCTGGCTCTGGTTAATTAACCACATAGCAAGGATCTTATGCTTAGCATGTGACTAAAATTTTTTAAGCATTTGTCTTAGAAAGCCTTCAAATAGATTGCTTTAAGCGGCTTTACTTCAACGTTATTTCTTTACAAGGAATTTCTGAAATGCTCCAAGAGAAAAAAACCAAAAACAAACACCACCACAGTCCTCAAGTTAACACACTGAGCTTCATCTTTCAAGGCAGGAGTTGAATAAAGTGACTACTCACAAGCCATTTTCAGAGGAACTGGAAAGTCATATATAGTGAAATGGGACACTGGAGGGTGCCATTGGAGGGTAGGAGAATTCCCAGTTGGGCAAATAATGGTATCTTACCCTCTCACACACCTCCACACACTCCCTCAAACGCCACTCTACTGCCATTCTAGAAAAGGGGGATGTTTTTCAATTCCAGGTTACATGAGTTAAAAATAATAAAACCAAACAGTACTTTTATAAAAGGTGAAAAGGGAAGAGACTGAGTTTTCCAAACTGACCTTAGGTTCCCTCCTTTGCAGAATTTTGTGGCTATGTACTCAAAGTTAATTCTATCACAGAGCTGGATACCATAAAATAAGCTAGTAAAAATGTCATGTTCAATACACCTAAAACATACAGGATATTTACTGTGCTGTGTATTGCACACAGAGACAAAGTTCTTTCTGGGAAAGAGACTTTTACTTTCAGAGCTGACTTACAGTCTTGGTTTTGTAATCATAATATTGCAGGTGCTGTGTATATTTTGCATCCATGTTTCCCATGTCTTCTCCTATCCAGTAAAAAAGGCTGGGGGAGAAACCATCAATTCAAATACCACAAAATGGAAACATAAAGAATGTCTCAATTTAGCTGCTTTTCTCTTTCCACAGAAAGCAATGATTAAGTAAAGATATTAAAATTACACAGTCACCTACCAGACCCAGGAGTCCAAATAAATCATTCATTTTTCACCTTCCAACAGTGATGTTAGCCACTGGCCCTCTCTACATAGTGAGGCTTCCTCTACCCACCCCAAATTACACATAAAACCCACAAAGTAACTTAGAATAAAGAAAGTTGAAACTATATCCCAAAAACCTATCAACTGTGAGAAATTTGACAAGCACATCCGGTAATATTAAAAATGGGATCAAAAGAACTTTTTCATATCACAGAAGCATCCAATTAGTTCCATTGTGAGAATATGAGGGAACTCTCTACAGGGCTAGCAGTTCCTTCTTTCTGAGCTGCTGCTGAGGAAGCAAAGGCACCTGCCAGAACTCTGGGCAGCAGACATTAAAGATGCAAAATTCAATATTGAATCAGGGAGTAATTACAAGAGGGGAAAACTGCCATGTGGGACAAAGGCTATAAAAGAAGTAGCACAGGAAGGAAGGCTGGGTCTGTTGTGCTCCAAATAATAGGAATTATGACCAGGATTTCAAACATGCTTTTAAGAAGAAAATTCAAGTGCCAATATTTTGAAGCTGAATGGCACTGCTGAAATAAGCCTTCACAGCAGTTGATGTGGTTCCAACATCTCTCTCTTTCCTAGAAGTCCTTTATGGGGCTAAGTTGTTATAAATTCATTAGGGTTCATAGTCTTGGCAGACCTTAACAAGTAAGAGAGATAGGTTCTACAGAAAAAAAATAGATTTGACATTCTGAAATAATAACTTGTACCATTCGATTCTCCTTCTAGAAACTGAATTAATGGACTGAATTTTCTAGATGATTTAATATACATCTTGAGAAAGAGAACAGCAAACAAAAAACCAGTTCCTGCTTCTTCATCATTAAACAAGAAAAATACCGGAAGCTTTCCCTGGATGTCTCACTCTTGGAAAACAAGCTGATAAACATCTGGTATTTAAAAATACAGAAGAACACTATATCAGCAAAAAGAAACAGTCTCCTCCCCATTCCCAGGTGTCACTATAAAATAAAACTGTATCATGACAATTTCCTCATTAGCTACATTTATTTTCCCAATGCAAGTAAGGGCCCGTGTCAGGAACAGCCATTACCCATCAGTAAGGCTTCTGCAAACACCTTACCTATACTGACATGACAGGTTTATAGTCCACTTCCAAGGAGATTTGGTCATTTACCAAATAAGATTTTATTCTCTACAGCACAATTTATGCTTATTTACAATTTATTTCCTACATTTACAAAGTTAAATTACAAGACAAGGCAAGTGTGTCACAAAAAAATTGTATCACAATGGTAGCACATAGATGGGATTAAAAACAGACAAGATCCTATTTCCCCCTACATTCAGATATGAGAGGTTCCTTTGTTTGGGTACTATGAAGCATGATGGCTTTATTTCTCCCTGAACACTGTTTCATTATTAACTTTTTCATGTAATAACTTCTGATCTCCCCTGCAGTTTTAGAAGACATTCTTAATATAAAGGTCTAGTATCCATCAACCAGATAAAGGTCACAAACAATATATTTGCAGAGATTCATTGCACTTTTAAAAACATTTGAAACAAAATTATGAATCTAAAAGTGTCAGCCTATGTCTCCTTGAAAAACTTAATGTTGCAGTGACTCACGGTGCCTTTTTGCCGTAGTCTACACTATCCCTTTTTCAGTGCAATCATCAACTTGTTCAACAGATGGAATGAACAGTTCTACATCTACTACTCAGCTACTAATGAAAGAAGTTTTGCATTCATAAGATGAAACCCTACATTCCCTTCTAGCTACTTGGCTATGATGATCTCTGACAAAGACCTAACAGAAAGCAGGTCACCACTGTTATTTATTCCATGATCGTGACTCAAAGCTCTGTCTCACCTATGCTGTGCCCTAAATCCATGTATCAGAAATGTTTATGCTGCTGCAAGTGCAGAACGCCCAGCCATCACATCTCAAATGAGGGAAAGCACCAAACAACTCATTCAAAGCTAAATTTTGCATCCTCAGCCCAAGGACAGACGTGCCCACTTGTTAAAATTTGTTTTGCATTCTGCAATTCAGTTGCCACGCAAGCTGTAATTATCACAAATTGCACTGCAGAGAGGCTCCCACTTTCCTACATACAGATAGCATGCTTTGCACTTTATGGAGGAAAATACTATGAAAACCTTTGAGTTTGGCTGGGATTTAAAACAGAAGCAACATTAATCAACAGAAGACAGACCAAAAGATCACATGCTGTGAGTTTGGACTGTTGCTTGGAGCGTGGTTTATTTTTCTGCTATTATTAGGGTTGGGTTTTTTTGTTTGGTTGGTTTTTACTGTGTGTTTTGGTCTAAAAGGTTAAACAACAAATAACACTGACCTAAGGAGAGTCAAGAAAAAAGCCACGGTCAGCTAACAAGGATGACATAAAATATAAAACATAATTGCAATTAGTTTTAAAACAAACCAAAGAGCAAAACTCCAACCCCTCCTCAAGGACTGAAGAGACTTAATGTGTCAGTACAAACACCCCTGCAAAGCAGCATCCCATCAAGACTGAGTTTATTTAACCTAAGCAAATTAGAACACATTCACAACTCCACACTGGGTCAGTCACACCCCTGAGGTTAAACACAGCACTAGACTGACTTCTCTATCAAATATTCCGATAAAAAGACTTCAATCAGTGTCGAAGGCCAGGCCATGCCCACACCTACAGTACATTTATCCTCAGCTTTCTCCTTCCTAAGGGACCTGCTGGTTTTCCTACAGCATGCAACACAGCTGAGGTTCTCCATTCCCAGTGGAAAACACATTTGCTCCTTTAACTGGAAGTCACACTTGCTTGTCAAAGGAAGACAAATATTTAAATAAATGAGCAGAACATGAAGGTCTCTGAAGTAATATTTGTGTCTTATTTCACACCCTGTGGCTGAGATCCCACACAAATTTAAAGTATGTTACTAGTGCAACAATTCAAATGAAGAATTCCAGACAAGAAAGGACAAACAAATACTCAAAAAGAGGCCAAAAAAACCCAAAACAAAAAAAAAAGCTTACAGTCGCTTGTATTCTAATTTTTTGTGTTCTTCTTGAAGTAATAACAAATGAATAGATAAGTTATTCCACAGTAATTCATAAACATTAAACAAGCTATAGCATTAGTTGTGTTTATAGTGTAAGTAAACCCTCTTTCAAATTAAGATTGTTTCCTTTCCTCCCCATACAATAGTGATTCAAGTTCTACCTTTAAAGATGACAACTTATTTTTACTATGAAGAGGTAAAATTTCAAGGACATAAAATGGCAATTTCAGCAACCCATTCCTGTTTATTGTTAGCAGCTTATTTTTGCCCCTATCAATTTAATCAGAGCATTTTCATAAATGCAGGTGGATTTGTCAAAGCTACTGATTTCTGCATAATGAATGGAGAATTCACGTGCACACAATATCTGCTTTAGCCTTGAAGTTCAGATGAGCACAGCAAAATAATCAGCACAGCTGACACATTTTACTCCAAAGACTTACAGAAGAAACACTGGCTACTTCACAGTAATTTACATAACCTTGCTTTCAGAGAACTTACATTTTTTTGCAGTGTGGGCACTTTGCTAGCGTGTTAAACCTCAGTTCCATCCACTGTAAAAAGAAAAAAGGAAAAGGTTGAAAAGCAACCTGAGAAAATGGTTGTTGCACTTAATGTTAAATGTCACTATGAAAATATTTTGCTTCTCAGTCTTTGACTTGTTTCTTGTTTTCCCCTATAAATGGGATGCCCTTTTGTCAGTGGCAACGTCAGACTGGGATTTCTATGTGAACATTTCCCATGACTTGCCTTAATATTACAAAATTTTCTTGATGTAATGTGGTTGCATCCACTGGCGTAGTATGGGCAACATTATAATATTAATATGTTTTCTTCTCTTACTTAAAGACTAGGAATATGCCCTGAATCAAAATAAGTGTATTTTCTTTGGCACAATTACAGACAGAAGTATTTTCCAATCTTTTCCCAAGCCTTGCATCACTTGTGAAAGCTAAGTTTGGGTACACAGAAAGATGTGTTAAAGAATATTTTAGAAAGTAAATATCATGGTTTTACATCAAAGAAATAGAGAACACTAGTGGCTACTTTACATTACTGTTAAAAAGATGATATGTAAAATTGTACATGGTAGGGTCACCACCTTCCATGCTCAGACTAAAACCTATGTGGGAAACATTGGAAAAAAAGCCTCAGTGAAAGCAATGCCTAGAACTAACTCAAGCAGGAGATAACACAGTGATATACTCACTTAAAAACAGCAAGTTCTGTTAAATTTCATTCTGTGATAACAGTATTAAACAAGCATTCTAAACATGTTTGCCCTGATGAAGGGAATAAGGCTCTCTTTCTTCTCCCTGTGAGCAGTTATTTTGTAACTGCAGTTCTCTTCCCTTGCCCTTCTCGTTGGAGGTTAGCTGGGAGTTTTCTTGGTGATGCAAAAGTCACACAAAGTTAAAAGCAGGGGAAGAAGCCACAGTGCAGATCTCCAGTGCCTCTATTAGTCCCTGCCTTATCTCTGTGAGAAATCTGAAGCTCTCCTAGTGAAGTGAACAGTGTTTTGAAACTGCTACAACCTCAAATCAAAACCGGAGCCCATCATCATGGAAAACAGCACCAACCTACAGCAAGCACCATTTAAATGCTCAGAAGAAATTTATGATTTTATGAGCAAAGAAAGATATGTCTTCTCATGCCTTCCCAGTATGAAGAGATTTTGCTGTGAGCAAAGTTTCAAACTGTGGTATTTATTGAGAATCTTCCCACCTCTTGAACACCTCCCTCACTTTTATTTACTTAGGGATAAATCCCCATTAAAAAGAAAACCATCTTTTATTTTCTTTTTCTGAAGTATCCATTTACAAATTTACAGAACAACTATGTAACTGGTATTATTTATTTACAAAACTTGACCAAACGGATTTAGCAGAGTTCTATTTTATTCCTTAATAAAACTTCTCTAATACTCCCCACCCAAGCAAAGCTTTTTAAGAGCATTAATTCTACTTCCACATTCCTGGCAGAGGAGGAAGTATTTTTCTGCACCCTTTTCAAAAACCTACTCAATTTCCCTTAATTCTACACAGTGAAAGTGGGGTAAAATGCAATTGTCAGTACTGGGGATAGAGAAAGGCCTCACCAGAGAAGTTATTTCAGCTTTTTAAAGTGCAATTCCAGAAATAAAAGGAAGTCTAATTCCAGGACCTATATTTTACCTAACTGCAATTCAATTTATATATGCCAGTTTTTATTCTATATCACAATGTAGGCAACTCCATTTCCTTAGTTACTCATTAATGATCTTTCCAGGATTTTAAGATTTCTAATTATTAGCCCAAATTATTAATGGCTACAAACTCAAATGCATTTGGGTTGTAAATATTGATGGAAAAAGGAGTCAGCAATAATCTGTTTTCATTGAGACTTACCTGGAAATAAAAGAAGCAGTAACTGCTATGATGCCTTTTACACAGACCAGAAGAATTTGTAGAAAAAGAGCAAAACTGTGATGAGACTTTCAAAGTGCAAGAACTCAACTCATGTTACCACAGTGGGGAAAGGTTATGTTCATGTTCATTCTAAATCATGCTTAAGCTGGCATTTTTTACCCATACTCCAGAGTGTTTTAAAGTACTTAATATTAATTCTTGTTGTTAAGAAGCTACAGTTACATAAAATTTAGTTCTCTGCTGAGAATACAATGATATTTTTAATTGGAGCAATATAACATACAGCCTAAATCCCTGGTTAGATGCACTGAAACATAGGTGAAGAAATGAGGAAATCAGAGCTTGTCAATATTTCTACTGTGGACAAAACCAGACATCCATCAAAGGAATGACTAGAAGAATAGTCAAACATTCTCCTTCGAAGCCTAAAATAGCTCTCAGTGCATTCAACACAAGACAGTGGAAAAAGAAAAAAAAGCCCAGAACAGAACAAAAAAAGGCATATGTACATAAATACATACACAGTCCTACATACACATAAAATCATATAAGTAATTATCATATTTGATTAGTTTAAAAAAAAAAAAAAAATGGGAAAAGCACAGTGCTCAGCCTACAGCCTGTGACTTCAATGGCTTGCTCCTGGCTTCTTGTCCCTGATGTCCCTTCAAAAACAGGACAGTAGCAGGAAGATGGCAGAGAGGGGGAGGATGCAGGGACAGCCCTCTCTTGCCCTCATTTCCAAAGGTAACTCAGCCTCTGACAGCCACAGACCACTGCAGGCAGATGTCCCTCAGAGAGGAGTAGCAGGGAATGACTTACTGCTGTCTAAATCAGTAACTTCACAGCCCAAGTCCAAAAGCTGTCAAAACAGCCTGAACCAGATCCAACACAGTTAAACCCTCATCCTGTCCTCCTATTCTATCCCTTTTTTCCACTTGTCAAGTCCAAACCTGCCAGAAACAGTAGAAAACTTAACACAGAAAGAACTCCTATCAGGTTACCAAACGAAAAAAAAAAAAATCTGATGAACAAGATTTGAAGTATCAATAGTTTGGCTACAATTTCACTTCAGTACCAAGTCATTCTTCCAGCTAAGACAGAGAAACTTTCAGGCACTCCATAGCAAAGAGTGTGCACGTCAAAATTTGTAAAAAGTACTTCCCCCATGTGCAGAGGCAAACTAAACACAGGCCCCATAGTTACGTCTGCAAATGGAAAAAAATAAAAAAACTTGGAAAGACAGGGAACAAGCTGATACTCTTAAAAGAACACAGAACATGACAATTTGACTTTTCCATCCAAGTGATTCTAGCTTTGCTTGTCTATTTTATTTATTTTTTAACTGCCAAGTAAAGTAAAAGGGATTGCCTACTGAGTTGCTGAGAGATGCATCTAGCACTATGTATTTTCTTCACACCATGGAGATATCAAATGGCATAAATACTAACTCAGAAACTGAGCTTCCAGGCTGGGTAAAACACTTTTTTGTTGCTTCTCTGCTAATATTCAAATCCAAGGAATTTCCTGATTTTTCTTAACTAAAAAAATTTATTTTCAGAATTTCAGACTTAATTACAGAAAAAAGTGGAAGCAAAAGACTGGCGGGAAAGCTGTGTAAAATGAGGAAAAAACGGGTTTGTTTCTTGATAACTCAGCATAAAAAAATAGCCAGCTTCTAATTTCTAATGGTTCAGAGAGTTTCTTCTCAACATATCATGACGTGACAAATAGGTCTTATCCTGGCAGACAGGAATAAGCAGTTCCCTAAAGTAACCAGAAGATATTAAGTCACATGCACAAATCCCAAATAAGAAAACTTAGCCTTTTAAAGCATAGTCTAGTAGTTATGGGCAAAACCAGACTTTATGGGTTTGGTTTTTTCCCCTTACATTCACCTGAAGTAGCCCACAGTGTAAACTACAAAGTTAATTGGACTGCCTTATATAAAGTTAATAGGGGCTCAAGACAAGTAAAACACCCATGCCTGTGAACGTCTCTAAAGACAGGCTGAAAAGGCAAACAGAAACACACTTCAGCTACCTTCAGTTTCACACTACTGTTCTTCAGCAAGGGTTATAAGAATTGATGTAATTTTTAATATATATGCAGAATTAGTAGATAGAGTATTTCTTGAGCATCTCTCTAATTGCTTTCCAGTTAGCACATTACTTGTAAATTCCTCATCATATTCCTATTTCTCTTCAGAAAAAAAAATCATCACCTACTATAATAAAGACATTACAGCACACCTGTCCTGGATTCAGCTGAGAGTATTAATTTTCTTAATAGCTGGTACAGTGCTCTCTTTTGGATTCAGTAACAATGTTGGTAACAAGCTAAGGTTTCAGCTGTTGCTAAGCAGTGTTTACCCTAAGTCAAGGACTTTTCAGTTTCCCATGCTCTGCCAGCAAAGAGGTGCACAAGAAGCTGAGAGAGAGCACTGCCAAGACAGCTGAGCTGGCCAAAGGGATATTCCATACCATAGAACATCATGTTTAGTACACAAACTGGAGGGAGAACTTGGCTGGGAGATGCTGATCACTGCTGGGGCACTGGCTGGGTCAGCAGGTGGTGAGCAATTGTGTTGAACACCACTTAACTTCTCTTGGGTTTTCTTCCTCTCTCTCTTTTTGTTACTATCATTATTTATCTCAACCCACAAGTTTTACCTTTTTCCCAGTTCTCCTCCCCACCAGGGCAGGTGGGCTGGGTGGTGTTTGCAGTGAGTGAGCAGCTGTGTGGTACTTTAGCTGCTGGCTGGGGTTAAGCCATGAAAGCGGCTCACTGATCCATAAATCTGAAGTAAAGACTTGAAGGCACAAGCCTATTCCATTACAGAGCCTATCACAAGCCAACCCTTCTCTCTCTGCTGGTACAAGCCAACGTGGAGTGGCATCCCCTAAGCTTCCTTTTTCCTTGCACAACATACACTTGAGTATTCTCTGATCTTTATGTTATTTTATAATCCTTTGTTTCAGGAAAATACCACCTCTCTCGTTACTGTTTTCTTTAACTGTACCCCTTACCTAGTCATTTCCTACAACTCAAATCTGAGAGATTCAATCACTGCTGGATTATGAAGCCAAAGCTAGTTTACTTGTGCAATGAAATCAAAACTGAAGCATGGCAGCACCTTGTCCATTTAGAAGGCTAAAGAGAGTTCAACAGCAGAAGAGCATTTGTGCATCCTTCCACTTCAAAAAAGGACTTCAAAATCAACTGTCAACTTTCGCATATAAACCAAACCTCCAGATCTCCAACAACCGACTGCTATGTCAATGGCAAGTGCCATAACCAACAGCTTCCAGGGCTCATACAGCAATGATGGAACTGATCTCTTGGCCACTGCAGAACACAGCCACCACTGCAAAGATAAACAGAACCTGGAAGACCAACTTCATCTTCCAGCACTGTCCACTCTCACATCACGAAACAGTAAGACAGACTTTGGGCTTTATCTACCCACGTACAGAATGACTGCTAAAAGTTTTCTTGAAACACATATAAAAATAACCAAATACAGACCATACATCCATAATAATGAGTACAGAAGTTTTAGTTCCTCAGTGATGCCAGAGAGTGAGGCAATACACTCTTAAAACTGCTTACAACAAACAGCTTGGGGATAGCACGGTGAGGCGAGAAGGAGAATCTGATGTTTTACTTACAAGGAATGTATTTCCACAGTGCCCACACACCACTCTAGTTCCATCTGATTGAACTGGCAAGGCAGGTTGAGCTGGCTGCTCTTCTGGAATCAGCATTACTGGACCAAGAGTAATGATGCGTCTACTGCGTTAAGAACATTACAAACACATGTGATTAAGCTAGCAAAAGAGAAGGACGATGCATTCAAGCAATTAGCTCAGTCACTACCAAATATTATTACACTTTTAAACTATAATCTACTTGTTAAACAGCTGATGCACCCAGTTTTGGTTGCTCTCCAAAGTGTTTTCAGTTTTAAAAATATTCTCTTTCCCTATAAGATCAGCCATACAATCCTAAACCCTATAGAGATCAAAGACTTGCAAGCATATGACAGACACGCTCCTCAGAAAAGTGAAAACTTCATACCCAGGCTGAGCAAGCCTGAGAATTGAAATGTACATACCCATGTGAAACACGTTGAAATAATAAGGATCTTCCATAACCTGGCTCTCCTTCCCACACCACTGACAACCATGTCAATATAAAAAGCATATCCATACTTGCACAGTAAAAATTCCATTCAAATTGAGTAAACTAAAAAGGAAATCCACTCTAGGTTGACTTAATGAAATCAATTTACTTTAAAATATTTGCTTTTATGTTCAATGTGTTTTCAGTTTAATTACACAATTTGTCAGTCCAAAATGACTGTAACCCAAATTAGCCAACTCAGAATGAGAATGAGACTTCTTAGAATGAAAAAAAGTGAAGGGGAAAATTAAAACAATATTTAATTTGCATTGCATCTTTTCCATCTACAACCAAAATTGTATTCTGAATGGCTTTCCTTCAATCTGGAGTGTTCCATTTAGGACATACTCCAAACTCTCTCCTCCAAAGTACACTACACCAATTTTTCTCAATTTCTAGCAAGACAAATACATAGTCTATCTTAGGAAAACTGCTTAGATGTAGCCTTTTGAGATTATTTTAATGAAATTGATGAATTTCTGATTTAGTTTAGTTACCAATATGATATTTTATAACTGCATTATCCCATGAACATTTTTGCACTCTGAGAAAATATTTGGAATGTTTTAAAGTCCTACCCAACAGAGCATTAGCAAAAAAGAGTAATTCCCACAAGTATCAAACTATGTTTTAAAACCAGAACAGCCAATAGACTGGTGACTAGGGCACTTGGTGGGGTAGAACTCCACTGCAGACTCAGCCTTCATCTCCTTTTCTCCTGTCAGAGCTGCACCACGTACAATGAAACTCCTCCTACCTCAGTGGAATCTTTAACACCTTAAGCCCAATGGTAGGAACAATCACTATGGCAATCACAATTGCTTCTTTTATAACAAGTGTGTACATTAAAGTTGAAAGCTGAGAGGAGAATGAAAACTCAGCGTAACTAAGAAGGAGACTGAAGCCAAGCTACTACTCCATCTCCTATTTCACTCTGAATCCCTACTCTGAACTTTGCAAAGTGAGTATTCTGTGTGGTTATAATAATTAAGTCCCTAAGAAATTATAAATGTTCAGTCCCAGAAATGAGAAGTGGATTTTCTTCTAGTGTTCTTTACATTACTTTTGACTTATAAAGTAGTTATATAATGGGACACAGATCTGAGACTAAAAGAAGAAACTTTTTTTCCTCTTTAATCTTAAAGAATAGATTCAAAACGGACACTAGCACTACTCGCGTCAGCAGCAATTCAGTAATGCTCTCTAAGTGTCTGTGTAAAGGGACTGAGGTTTGAACTTCTTTTAGTTTTAAATAGTCAACACAAAGTCAACAGCTGCTTTAAAAGAAACCATCTCAAGGCACTCAGTGTTTTATTCTTACCAGTTTGGTCTTGGACAGCCTATTTTCCGAGATGTATCCTTACAGATAAGGAGACAGTTACATTGACATCTAACATATTTCTTCCCTGAAGGAGGGTTTTTGATTGGCTAAACGAAAGAAAAAACAAAGAACCACAACCACCAGAGAACACACATCAGAAGTTATAGCAATTCATTTTTTTCCACATAACAGAATGGCAAAGCAGAACAACCTCAGTGAAAAGTTCTTGCTAATGGAGAAATATACTTCCTCTTACAGGGAAAACTTCAGAGTCAACACAAAATTAGAAATTTTTTCTTTCTTAAGAAGTGAGAATTTCCTTATTAGAACAAGCAAATTCTGCAAACTCATGGAACAAAATAATCATATTTTAGCAACGACAATTCAGAGCTTTGGTTCAGCTATTTTTTTTTTTTTAAATGTGAGCTTAAATACTGATATAGTAAGAAGAAAAAAAAAAAACAAACAAAAAACAACCACCCAAAATCAGTCAAAACATCAAACAACCCTTCTTGCCTTGTACAATGGCTTTATTCAACAGTGAAAGGATCACAGTCTGCTCCTTGGTCACTAAGAGAGTATGAAGGCACCAGGGAACTGTAATCTTATTTAAAACTGTACTGAAATTATCTTTCTCCAACCGGGAGTCAAGTTTCAATGTCCCTTTCATGCAGCAAATCAAAAGGTGCACGATGCTTTGTTTGGCTTGAAACATTATATAATGGACAGGAAAATGACTATCAGTGGCAGGTCCTTTTTTTTTTCCACTTTCTTTTAAGTGGAAAAAAAATTTCCTGCAGTTTTACAGCTTCCTGTTTTCAGAATCTAAAGTTCTTTTCATATAACAAATATATAATAAATCCATATAATAAATCTAATCCAGTGTTTTTCATACAAATGCATGCGGTAGCTGTGGAGCCCTGCAGTATCACATCCCAAAATTAACACTGGCAGGAGGAAAAAAAATAAAAGCAGGAGGTCAAATAGTGAAGATTTGAATTAAGAGGAAAAGAAACAAATAGGTCTCTGATCACTGGAAAAGAACCGAGGACTTAAACATTTCAAAAGTATTTCAGGAGAAAAGCATTCATCCAGGGCGAGGTGTGGGTTGGTTACTTTGTTTCTCCCATTCTTAGAACAACTCAATTCTACACTGCTCTTCATCCCATCAAAACCAATTTTATCCTTCTTTACAGAAGAGTAATTACTTAAATGACATCTTTGCTTTCTGTCCTCCTCAGAAGGAGACATCCTGCACAGCCAGCTCAACCACACAGATTTATTCTAACTGCTCATGACCATCCTCGTGCCAGCAGCCTGGAGCTCGCACGCCAGCCACACTGGCAGTCAGCCGGGCTGGCTCGGCCTCTTCCCAGGGGTGGCAGGCAGGGACCCACCCTGCCCAGGTGAGGACACGAGTCCTACCCCCCACAAAAACGCTAGAAACCCATTTTACCGTAGCTTCATTGCAGACTGTGCATTTAACCACGTGTTGGTGTAGCTTGCCATCCAAATTGATGAGTGACTGGCACACACGGCAGTTTATCACAGGAACACCGCTGGCATCTGGACTTGCAATGGCAGTGTATGGAGGGGGAAGCTCTGCTGCAAGACAAGGAAATCCTGGCTGAAAAACCAGAGGATGCTTCCACCAAGTATCATTTCTAGTAGCCACAGGCTGAAAAACGAAAAAAAACCCCAAACCTTCCAAGCCAGTGTTTAGTATAAACATAAAAAAAACAAGTTTGCTTTCCCCTTCTCCACAACTTCTGTGTACACAAACACCATCCATAGTTGTAGGTAAAGAAAACCAGTAACACAACACAAACACACAGTAAAACACCCCAGAAATCCAGATTCAAAATTAATCTATGCAACTTTATTTCAAGCCAACTTTTTGCAGTCCTTAGAAAATGCTTGAAGAAAAACACTAAAAAACCCCAAGCCTACCACAGATCAGTAGAGACTGGCTTTTGAAGAAAAAGACCCCAGAAAATAAAACAAGACACAGGTAGGAAGAGTCATAAACAACATTCACAAATATCTAAATAAGACTGAAATACAGACAAAGGTTTATCATATATTAAAAGATACTACAGGTATAAACAAAAAAAAAGTCCTGTTAAGAAAACAGATCTTGGATAGGAAGTGGCATGTAATGCTTTTTTTTTTGTTTGTTTTTTGAGTACATCTTTTTTGAGTACAAGAGGAAATTTATGGCGCCTTGAAGAAAAAACCCTGAAGTTTCAGAGTTTCTGCTTTTAAGGGTTCCAGATATATTTCTTGTCCAGGAGCCAAAGTATCAATTCACAAGAAGGTCTTCAGTCACTTTGGAAAGGCTAACACAAGCAAAGCTTTAAAGGCCTCAGGCCTCCAGGGAAGAGCAGTCTTCAGACGGCAGCTTTGTCAGTCTTGAGTCCACAAAAAAAAAAACAGGGAGGAAACACTGAAGGTTCTCTGAGGTTTAAGAATCCATGGAATGAAAATAATTCAACACAGCAATCTTTCACAAGCTTATCACCAAAGTTCTTTGGTATATAATAGCACTGGCTTTTATTTCATCAAGAAGTTCAGGGCTTTTCAGGTAAGCAAGTACAGAACAGACATATTCAGTAGCTCATATTTAGCTTTTTTAAATACTAGTAGTTTGAAATGCCCTGCAGCCTTGGGCTTTGGCAAGTTTTTCAAAAATTACATCCAAGCAGCTAACAAAATCTTTGGAGAAACAATGAGAGATCAGCCTACTTCCCATACCAACAAAGCAGTATCTGCTGGTGGTGAGGGAAATCACAGGCTACTATCAAAGCTGACAAGCCTGAGTATTAAATTTAAGCCTGTAAGAAAGCACTCATCTCTCCTTCACTCTGTTTTGAAGTGAATGTCATAAGCTGGAGGGATATAAGAAACCCTGCCTGCCCTTCAGATCCAAAAGTCATCACACACCTTTGAAGTGCATGTTGAACAGCCATGCTGCTATCTCTCTTTGCTGCTTGGTCTATACATGACCCAGACCTGTGCTTGATTTTAACTCACAGGACCAGCAGGGAAAAGATGGATATCTTGAGAATCTCAAAGCCACATCCAATATCCTTGAATTATTTCAGACGAGAAACAAAAATAACTTATATGCAGCAATATCATTCTGAATTCATGACACTAACTGATGCTCTATTTCTTGAGGAAGTGAACTTTACACCTTCAGCTCTGATAACACTGGTTACAGAAAACAACATCCTTAAGAAATATCAGGTAACAGTACTGCTATTTCTTCTGTGTCTGAGGAAATACATTCTGAAAAAATGCAGCATCCAGAAAAAAAAAATTAAATATCAGTATTTTGCACTACTGTGATAACCTATTTTAAGTAAGGCTGCCACATGCAGGACATGAGACATTACAAGACATTAAAAACCAAACACACACAAGACAAAACCACAACCCACACACTTTGGCAAGTAGAAACAAGCTCAAGCCTACCAGAGCAGTCCAGAAATCTGGTTAGAGACTTAGATGATGGGGATAGCAGTGTCTCAACCACCGTGGCAAAGTCAAGGCTGCAGCAAGGGGGTTTTGGCAGTCAGCAGCCTGCTTAACTGCTCCTGCAGTGAGCAGCTGACACTTTCTGGCAAGGGGAACAGGCAGCCAGAAAACAAAAGGCATGGTCCAAAGACTAAATACCAAACTCTCTGTCAAGACACCTCTACAGTTCACTCCCAGCTTTAAGGTTGCTTTTCTGAAAAGCAACAATTGTTTTACAAAAGTTCTTGACTTTGTCCTCTCCATTTAAAGTGTGGCAGCTCAATTCTGTGAGCTGGGAATAGGGTGGCTGTACTAAGGCAAGCAATAATTTTAAGGGTACCAGAAAGTGAAGAGATACACAGCCACCAACATTGCAGCTTTCCATGATCCTGGAATACTTTAAAAATTGACAACCATACTTTCTAGACATTTTTAATTTTCTGTACCCCATTTCCAAGTGATAACTCTTATGAGTTTGAAAGCTGGTTAACCAAGGTGTGTGAGCCCCTATACACAGTGCCAGCCACTTCTTCAGCCTCCTATTGGAGCTGCTTGGCTTCCAGGTAAGCAGCCTCGCTGTTCCTGTCCTGCTGGCTCAGCAAATATCAGATAGCAAGCGAATAATGGCTGCTTTTCAGAGCTGTGCTGCAGCAAATAACATTTGCTATGGAGCAGAAAGCGTGAGGTATCTTGGCACTGCAACCTTCATGCTCACAGAAAACCTGCATTTTGAAGAGCTCCAAAAAACAAACCAGCACCACCAAAATTAAATGTAAAGAAAAGTATATTGGGGGAGGGTAAGGGGGTGTGACATGGTGAAAAGGAAAATCAAGACATTGTCTCAGAGTTAGCTGCTCATTACCCCTTAAGAAAAAGGCTTCAAAGCACATTAGCATACTTTGGTATGATTTTTTTTTTTTTTTTTTTTGACAGCTTGAATTTCAGGGTAACTATAATATCTAGAATCAGCTCATAAAGGTCTGTCTGTCTGTCATGCTGGACATGACTGTGTGGTCAAGGCAAGCTTCACATACATACCAGGAGACATTTAATGAGATACTGGATTCCCTGCTGCTAACATACCAGTTTACAGCTATATTATCAATTTTTCTTTAGAAAAACCAAACAAACACCAAAAACAACAACAACAAAAAAACCAAACCAAAACAACCAAACCCACCCCCTCCAAAAAAAACCCCAAAACAGTAATTATTATTAGTTCAGCAAGATTAGCAAAGTGCCCTACCATGCAGCACATCTGACTCCCTCTTCACCCCTACAGAACAGCGATGCAATGGAAGATATCCCATTTGCAACCTGAGAAATTCCTTGTGGTGCTTATGCACTTTCCTCCCTTGGTAGTTGAAGGGTGGAAACCACAGAGAACCACTTGCAGCTTACCTGGGTCAAACAGAAATGAGTTTTATTTGATTAAAAAAAAAAAAAAAAACTCTTTATCATGATCTAAATCATTATTTATCAAGACCTGGGAGGGGGTTGGTAAGGGAAAAAGCTAAGTGATTGATGTCAGAGATAGGTTGTTAAGAACAAAGAAAGCCTGGAAAAAGCCTAAAAAACCTAAAAGAAACAAACAAAAAAACACTGGCTAACCAACCTACCACAGGGAACATAACTGATAGTTTCACCCTTTGACAATGTTGAGAAAAGTTTCTTAAATACTGTGGCCTGCATCCACACTGGAAAGATTTTTGCTTGCTTGCTTCCATCATTAAGAACAAGCACCGAGCCATTAGCAGGATTCAACCATCCATCAGTTTACACAGGGAAGGGTCAGCTGGGTCTCAGCTGCAGCTCAGCAAGGGAAGAGAAGGCTACCTTCAAACCATGGTCTCTCTAATTTAAAGTTCAGCACAATACATTGGGCACAGTAGATAATTACAGGGTTAAACCTACTAATGTACATTCAGGTGGTAGTTTTGACACAAAGGGCTTCTTCCTCCTTCCTCGCCACTCCACGATACTCAGGTGATGTTAATCAAGAAAGCTCTGGAAGCAAACCCAATTTTTCCACAGGAATGCTTCTTCCCGCTAAGTCTAGCTTTGTGCTAGGGAGAGATAAAGACTGCCAGTCAGCTAGAAAGGTGGTTCAGCTTGCATAGATCCTTCCACTAAGGAAAGCCAACAGAGCAAGGGACGTAGAGCTACTGGCCCCATGTCACAGCTCTGCAAAATTCTGTCCCACAGCTATCCTTCTGGAAGTTGTGCCGAGCAGTTCTGAAGTGCTACCTAGTATGTTTGCTCATGGACTGATCAAACACGAGATATTTGACATTCAAGAAAGCTCTATGTTCCTCATTTTTGAGGAGAAGCCACTTATCTCACTCACTCACTTATCTCAAGTCCCACCACAGGTGCCCAACCAGTTATCTCAAGTAACAGATGCCCACTGCAGGCACATGGCTACCAACCGAAATGAGCATTGAGGATCCAGCTCATTTCCAGGTCATGAGTTTTACCCTGCGGTCAAAGAAGAGTCACTAATCTAATGCATTTTCATTACTTTTTACATTTATAAAGACTTTAAAAAAAACCAAACCCAAAACCAGATAGAAACATATGCAAAAATAATGGTTATAGGATAAGGATCACTAAGAATAAAAACATCAAACATCAGAATGTAAACTAAGGTATATATATGGAATTTTTTTTTTACTTAGGCAATAATACCAATAATAAAAAACTGACGGCAAATAAACTCCAAATAAAAAGCCAAAGCATCCAACCTCTGCTGATTTTTAAGCCAATATTCCTTTGTCCAGTTCAAATCAAAGTAAACAGTCACTACCAGCTACAGCCTTAAGTGAAATACATTTTCCTATCAAGACAAGAGGACTAGCTTTCCACAAGTTTAAATATCATTCAAAACAGACAGATGCTCACTCATTCTAGTTACATGCATGAATCTATACAGTTAATATAAATCATTAAGGACCGAACAACACACGGGAGCTACTGAGATAAGAATTGTAATCTTAAATTTTAAAGGGTGCTGCTAGCAAAGCTACTCTAATCTTATTTAGTCTTCATTCCTTCAGCTTTCTCCACACCTCAATTTCTGATCTAAAACGTTTAGCTGAAAAAAAACCCAAAGGGGGAAAAAAACCCTACTCATGTACTTTGATAGTATTCTGACTTATATTTTCTAAGTAATTTTTTTCCACCTACTAATTAAATAGTCAGGATTGATCAACAACATGATTTTTCCTAAGTATGTACAAGAAAGATAATACCATGTAATTATACCACGACTACAGATCTGTAACCGCAGTATCGGACTTCCTTCAAAAATAAAGCCAAAACCAGCTACGGCCTTGAAATGCGTTTGCAAGGACATCCTGATGGTTTTGGACCTCAACCACCACACCGCACCGAGTCTCCTCGGTATTTCGGCGCGGCTGCCAGGCCAGGCGCTGGCCACACCTGGGCACCCCTGGGCTGTGGCCCGGCGATGGTCACCGGCCAGGGCGAGCCGCCGAGCTCCTGC